AAAATTTATTGGAAAGGTACTTTTCTTTTTTTTTTTCTCCTCTTTTTTTTAGTTTTTTTAGTATAAACCATCGATGTGTTTTCAGTGTGTTTGTATAATACAGTTGAAAATTTGTTCCCCCCCCCCCCAAAAAAAAAAAAAAAAAAAAAAACTCCATCAAAATTTTAAAGAGATATCTGGAAATTCAGTATTAAATTTTGCCAAGTTTGTGAAAATCATGTGCCTAAGAATATTTGTTCAGCAGAATAAAGTCGCAACAGCTTGAATAAAGTATGACTAAGATAGACAGCTGAATAGAAATGAAATCAGTGCAAAAAGTCATGCTTTTGCAACCGTAGATTAGCAAACGTCGGCAAGAGAAAGCAACTGAATTGTCAGTACCGACAAAATCATGTTTGTTTTTTTTTTGTTGATAATTTGACTTTAAGACTTTGTAAGTTAATGTCTATTTTATAGCGTAATTAATGTAAGATTTTGGATTTCGTCAGACTAATTAGAATGACAAAAAACGAGGCTGGAACAATCTCGTTGCAAGTTTTTTTTTTTTTTGTAACAGTCAAAATGCAAACAAAAGATTGCGAGAGCTGAGACTGAATATTTGTAAAGAAAGTCCAACACGGTTACCGCTGTTTGAGGTGGCGTAAATTTTAAAGTCGCCAGATCGACAAGGTATGTATTGAAATAGAACCGGTTTTTTGTGTGAACTAGATGACATGACTTGTCGAAACCGTCAGTTGAAAAGCATTTGTTCTGTTTGCCATAGCTGAACAATCAAAAACTTTAGCTTAACACTTTAGATACTGCACAGGCAATGCTGTGTTTTTGACCCCTGAATGATTTCTTGAGTCATTTTTTGAAACATTTCATTCCTTTTGACAGGCAGGCACCTTTTTGTAAATGAACAGACCAGCATCGTTGTTCACTGCTTTATATGCGCATTTTTTCGTTACCATATAAACTGTGTTACTGCTTGGTGCAATTTTGTCTTTGATAAGTGACTCAAAAAAAACATCTTTCTTGTTGTAATTTTTATGAATTATTCTAATAGAAAATAAAAAATATGCTAGTTTTAGAGCGCTGACTGCCACTTTTATTGACAAGATTTAGTGTAAACCTAAGACATAAACAAGTATATTCAATGTACTTAAAAGTGTTAATGTGTTTGTAAAAATGTAATCATCATTTACAACCGTGCTTTTTGATTTTTTGTTTGTGGTATAGCTTATTTTTCTCGCTTACTTGACAAAAGTATAACAAAGCGATTAGCCATGCTAAATTATATAGTTTGATTTATCATCAGATGGATCTTAAGTTCTGGTTTTTCTGCTAAGCGCCTGCATAAAAACTACAAACTCCTATCAACAAAAAAAATTTTTTTCACAATTTTTCGCTTTTCGCTCAGCTTGTTTCTACACCGTTTCTAAGTTACTTTTATCATAAGATTTTACTCAGGCAGTTAGGTTCTGTTAGAACCCTTCGCAATCTGTTAAAGAAAAAAATTGTTGAAAAATTTTTTGAGATCTTTTTTTTATCAGATACTATGTTCGAAAAAACCTGAAGTTCTTTCAGCTATTTGTTGAATAAATTTTAATTTTTCTTGGAAAAATGTTTAATTTTGTAAACTTAGGTTAAAAAAATTATATAGGAGAATGGTACTGATCTTGCTAACAATCTTCTGGCTGTTTAACGAAATTTTCGCATTCAATGTAACGCTATGTGGCATTGAGAAAGGCTGTATCACACAGCCGAACAACTGCGATCCGCTTTCTGTGGCATCTTGTAATCGAGCTTTTAGCTATCAGGTATTCTTCTGTTAATCTTATAAAATCAAGAAAATAAAAACTTGAGCAAAATAGTGACAAAAACTCTTAGGTTGATGGCGAATATTTGGTAATGGAGTTAATGGGTAAAGTCGAAAATTCTGAAGGATTCTATGTCGCTGCCGGTTTTTCAGATGATTCAATAATGGTGAGTATTTGCTTTCTAAAGTTTATAATAAATTTGTAAAACACTTTTTCTTTGATACAGAAAGCTAGAACAATGTTGTAACTTTGACGTTGTCAGTCAACATACTGCTTAAAATCATTACTTCATAAAATACTTATCCGGAAGTTGATAAAATGCAGATGAAACTAAACCGTCAAGCTAAAATCGTTTTTTTTTTACATTCCAAACACGGCGCCTAAATTAGACCAATTAAAGGTTAGTAAACAATCAGGGAAATCACTTTCTTATCAGCAAAACAGTGTAGTTATTTTTCTTTAAGTTTTATTTTTAAACGAAACCGCTGGTTTTACAGTTTCTGGTTTTATAATAATCAATCTATTTTTTCAAAAAAGTGGCTGATAATGTTTATTTTCTTCTACCTTAGTGCTTCCTTCTGAGAGCTGAATTGTCGAAGTTTTATTCATGTTTTTTCTGAAAAGTCTTCTTTAACGACTGTTACAGTACCGTTGAGGATATTGTTCACTACAACCTAATGCTGTTTTTGTTTATTTTAGACTACTGACAATGAACACTTTTTGTAGGGTGATGATTCAGTCACGGAATGTTCCAGTGTTTTACAACAACCCCCGAAAGGTCATTTATCATACAATATCGGAAAAGAAAATAGACGAATAAAGATTTCAAAAGTGTGTAATATGATAAAGTATCAAAGCTATTCATTACGCTTTTTTAAAGATGATTTTATATGATTTAGTTTAATTTATTTTATTCACATAGATTTTATGTTTTTTAAAAATTGAATTTCTGATGTCGTGTTGGTGCACTATGAAGTATACGAAACATGTTATTTTTAAATGAAAATCGTCAATTTTTTTTATTGTTTTGTTATTTTTTGCTACTCTATCAATGTTTAAAAATTAGTTTTTGTCTTTATTGTGAAAGAATTTAATTAAATTATCATGGATACCACAGCATACGTTATCAAAATTTTCTTTCTTTTTTTCGTTTTAGGATATTTTGGACCATCTGCTGACCACGGTTTCAGCTGAATACCGAGATGGCAAATTGTTCTGTGTTTTACGGCGAAGAATTATTCCAGATGCCGGAGTATCGCAAACAGAGGTGAAACCTTTGAACGGCAGTTACCATGTTTTTCTGGCTAGTGGGCCAGCCTCTGATTTAGGTACAACATTTCGCTTTTTAAAACAAAAAAAAAAAATATTAAATGTTAGAAATGGAGTTTAAAACACGTTGTCTAGACTCTGATTTCAAACACAAAGTAATAAAGTACTAAAATAATGTAGCATAAATAAATGTACCAAATCAGTCTAATGGGTTTTTTTTTGTTTTACATTCTTTACAAGAATTTTGCAGGCTTTATTTTATTTTATTCTTTATTTTTTTGTTTTTAATTTTTTTTTCTGTTACAGCAACACTAAAAATTATTAAACAAAAAAAAAAAAGAAAAACTTTTAGTTTCAAAAAGAGTCGATGGCACCTTTGTTGACTGGTACTTTAGTTTAGTAATTTAAATTGTAATGCTACAATTTTTACTGCAAAGATTAACAGGTCGGCAACAAATTAGACTCGCATAAAACTGGTATTATTTTAAACCAAAATACTAATTTTCATAATCTAGATTTAAAAAAAAAAAAAAAAAACAAAATTTTGATGAATTTGTTAAAAGATGAAATTTAAGCATAGGTGGCAATAGAAATAATTTTGTTTAAGAAACAATCATATAAGTTTGTTGCTAAAGCTATCGCATAGAAGAAACATCAAATAAATTTACCAAAAATTTGGTGTTTTTAGTCTCACTTTATAGTTCAAGACAGATGCTTTTTGCATTTTGACGTCTTAAAGCAAAAATTTTTTTGTTTGATTTAAAGGAAACACTTTATTCAATCGTTTTGCTTATGAAACAAACACTATTGATAGAAAAAAAAAAGCGTTCTGAGGCACTTTTCAAGGCATCTTTTTTCTTATTCTCAGAAAGAACAAACTTTGAACCTTTGAGAACACCATTCCACTATTTTTCAATGCTGACACACCAGTACTTTTTTTGAAAATTTTTAACAATACTGTTTAGAAAATACGAATTAATAAAATTACTAAATTAACCAATTAGTGTTAATTGTAAACGAAATAAATGCTGTCTATTAGATCCAGCTTTAGAGTACATTCGTTTAGGAATTCTCATGCATTCTATAAATAGAGATGAAAATTATCCTTTTGTATCAAACAACGCATTAAATTTGCAACAGTATAGAAGTCGTCGACAACCTTCTTCACGTATGATTTTAAAGCATTTTACTAAAATGCTATGAAAAAATTCTGGTCATACACTTAAATCGGCTTTTTTTTTTTTTGCTTTTTTGAAGCGTCTTTCAGTTTTTGTAAAAAAGCTTAAATTAAAAACTTAGATTTCTAGATCAGCCTTATGCCAACGGATCAAATGTTGGAGACGATGTCATTTATTTTGATTCATCGATTAATCAAGCCTCATCCCATCAAATGTCTGCAAGCACAGTACAACGTCTTCTGAATACGCATGGTTTTTACAATTATTTTCTCATTTGCTAAAAATTATCAATTACACAAGAGTATATAATAATACTCTTACTTTCAACAAGAAATTGGTTATTATTAACAGAAGCAGAAAAAATTCTGCATTACAGTAAAGTTGTTTTCTGTTATGATCTGCACTGTTCGGTTAAACAACTGAACACTGCCGAACAAACGATACCCTTACTAGACCAAATCAGCAATTTAGCTAGTTTTTTAGCTATACTGATGTTTTTGTCATGGATGATATTCATATCACCAGCGTCAATAATTGCCCGATATATGCGTGATCATTGGTCTAATACGAAAATATGTGGTTTGATGCTATGGTTTCATGTACGTTCACTACGTTTTTCGTTTTTCGAAGACGACATAGGAAGTTAGAATAACGAATATATTTGTATTACAGCTTCATCGTACCTTGAACACAGTCGGAACTGCACTGATGGTATCTGGGTTTGCTTGTGTATTTTCGGCATTCGGTTGGGTATGGAAAGGTCCCGCAGTCTACCGCACTACCCAAGAAGTCAGTAAACGAGTACTCGTTGTTTGTAGAGCGACATTTAAAAATACTACATACTCAAGAAGTGCTTTTGAAGCAGTACTGTATTTTAATGTTCTTTCTGGTAAGAATTAATTGCAGAATAGAGAATGGGGTTCAATTCATTCAATACTCGGGCTGTTGGCTTGCTTGTTGGCATGGATTCAACCACTGAATGCAGTTTTTCGCTGCGAACCAACAAACAGATTCCGTTCTATTTTCAATATGATCCACAGACTACTCGCACTTTTCGCATGGGTACTGGCAGGTGAGTTATTTAATCCTTCAGTGATAAACTTTTTTACTTTATCAAATAATTCCTAATTGATTAAACGCTAATTTTTTAATTAAATAAATTAGTTCAAAGAATGTTTATTGTACTTATATGCCTAATTTAAACAAATTTTCATTAATTTTATTATTCAAATGAGTTTTAGTTTTATTTTCTATCTCAAACTTCACTGATGAAGAAACAACTACAAGAAAATGACAGCTTCAGAAATATTGAAAATAAACTTACTGCCACACTCCGATAAAGGTTTGTGGTTTAGCAATTTTTTTAACGGGAAACACTTTACAGCAGCTTGTACAATGATAGCAGTCAAATGGTTTAAAAGGCGATTTACCAATCCCAATGCGGCCCTCGGACTTTACATTCTCTTTATTGCCTCTTTTGGCTTAACAATAATAGTCAATGAGGTTACTTTTTTTGTCAGTTTCAGTGATTTGCTAAAATAAAAAGTCGAAAGAACGAGAAAAAAAAAAGTAAACAATCAATTGAGACTGACCAAGATGTAATTTAGATATTCTATATTCAAAAATGGTTTCTTCGAAGAAATCGAAGTCCGTTAAGAGATACCGTCGATCCTGCATCTGGAGAACGAAAACCTCGTATTATTGCTGGCCCGTCATTCAAAAAGGTGCATTTTTACACAGCGCTGTTTGTCTTCATTTTTTTTTTT